TCTCGCTCTACAAACATACATCACATTCAAAGCAAAGCTTAGAACCTGAAATGACGATCTGCTTGACCGTAAACGCTTCGATACTCCCACGTGTTTGCATCGATGCCGTCAATGACAGGTACCGTCATTACACGCCTAAACATTGGTTCACAAATTTGCGGCAATCTAAATGACTACAATTTTAAAGAAAATTAAGAAAGTTAAGAATAAGATGGTACTTCTGATTGCTTTAAAAAAAGCTACCTATTATGTTTGATTGGAGCAAGAAGTGGGGGTAACCAGTTCGTATTAACTTCGCAGTGCGCATCTAGGAAGATGATCACATCTGCAGTGGAGTGTTTTGCCCCTATCGTGCGAGCACGAATCAGACCTTCACGATCTTCAGTGCGCACGAGTCGAACCTACAGAAATAAAAAGTATCTTAACAAACATAGATTTCGCAGTTTATAAACAGAAATTAAAAGAAGCCCACCTTCCCGTTAAATCTCTTTATATATTTGTCCAACTTTTCCTTCAAATGTTCTAAAATTGGAATAATCTAAGCAGCAAGCAAGAAATTTCAAAAATCGATGCTCCACCTTTGTCTGAGTAGTCGTCAACCATTACGACTTCCTTTATAAGCTGTGGAGGAGATCGAAGCAATACGGAGTGCACTGTTCTCAGCAAAGGTGTCCACCCTTCATTGTGAAAGACGACGACGACAGAGACGGTTGGCAAAGTTTCTGGATAGTTCCAATGCTTACACCTGGAAATAAGTTCAATTGGACTAGTAGAAAGTAATTGCTTTTGGTGGACTTCCAACTTACTCCTCCATTCTGATGTCAGGAATTGTGCGATTAAGTGAGATCATGTCGCTTACATAAGTGTTGAAACCAAATTCTTGTTCAGCTCTCTTTGATTCCCTGAGACCCTCTTCATCCGTGAACGTTACTGGTGCTCCACCTTCACCTGCAATAGATGACCTCGACATTAATTAACAACAAATCGATCACAATAGAACAAAAAAAAAATGACTCGAACTGAACATCAAAAACATAGCTAGCTAGTGAGTAGATG